AACCGTAATGAGGTATTAATCCAGTGAATGGGAAGTCGCAGTTAGAGTCATTTTCCGTTAATTGCTTTATCTGTAGTTATTCTTGTGGAACTGCTAAAGGCAAGGATAAAAGCAATTCAACTTCTCAAAACTGTGGTTCACGAATCTGGGATGGAAAGAAAATAAAAAGAAAAACAGAGGGCAACTCGGCTCTTTACATTTTGGAGGATAAGGTAAAACACGGTATCATTTTCCATTTAAATACTTCCGTAAGCCACACGAAGAAGGTTCATTAAAAAAAAAAACCTGATCTGCTTTTTATGGAACAGCGAAGTATATCGCAGCTATATCCGCTTCAGAAAGTGATATAAAGCTCACAGATCCTGTAAGGATCATTTAGTATGCTGAGCTCTAAGAACGAAAAATCGTTTTTTATTTTTTGCTTTATTTTCTTTCGGTTACTTCTTTACAATTCATTCCTGATCTTAGCAGTATGCGGAACGCATGTTACCTTTGAACTAAGTGATGGTATAGCTCACCCTGATCACCTTTATCAAACTTTAGACCTTCCAACACTCTGCCACATAGCCATGACTTATGGGTCAGTGACAGAGTGTTTGAAGGTCTAAGGTTTGATGAGGGGACTTCGCAAAATTTGTTTATCCCACGTTTGCAATTATGATATGACAAAAAAAGTCACTTTTTTCCTTCGTAATTCACGTTGTTTGACCAATATTTTTATGTGTGTCTCTTTTCAGGTTCCCCATTCAGAGCAGCTGGAGGCATCTACCAGCTTTCCTCAAGGTAATCCTAATATATTCACAGTCATTCAAGCCAATATCCATGCGATAAATACTAGATTCCAATTGCTCTTGGCTTAAATTTTTTCTTTTAACTTTTAAGTCGATTTCATGAAAACGGATTATAAAAAATAAATTAAGCTTAGCCCACATCTCACAATTTACAATATTTTCAGTTGCTGTGCCTCTAGCTGAATACTACAGACTGCAGCGACAAGAGCTTGATCTAGAGGTAGATCTATTAGATATGCCTCAAATATTACGCAGCAGCTGTCACTGTTACTAACAAAATGAACTTATATAGATATTTTCTTTCGGCAGTTGATCGATGAGCATTTCTCCTCTCCTGAAATAACCAGTGGATTTTCAGGAAGCGATTGTCCATTTCCAGAAGGTTGGCTAAAAACCATGCACATAGTATTTTAGGTAAAACTGGCAACAATAAAAGCTCCCCTCTCCCTTCGCGCATTCAAACACACCACTACTCTTAGCTATCCTTTATTTTATATGAAAGCATTACTAAACTCTTAAATACCCCAGTTTTTACTGAGATACGCTTATTCTGATCAAAAAAAAAATTCATGAATTTAGACGATTCATTGGGCCTCGCTCATCGTCTTGATTATGAAGTCCAGATTAATCCTCAAAGGGGTCCTCTAGAGGTAAAGGGGTTCCCCCCCAGTTTTTATATCATTTACCTACGTGAATAAAAGTGCCCTAATTTACGACAGTTTTTTCTGGTTTTTCCTTTAAGAGTGAACGTTGACGCTGATCTATTTTTTCCGCTCTTAATGTAAGGGAGGAGCTCCTTGCCTTTTCACCTTTACTCCAAAGCTGTTCGTGGGCGTTACTACAATATTTGCTACGTTTGGTGATTTGGGCAGATATCAACTAAGAAAAGTGGAGGATGATTACCTGTGTTTAATTCCAGGTTTGAAACTATTTCTAAAGGTTACTCCGCGACTTCTTCGTTGCTTTCATACCGATAGGCGTCTAGCATCATACTAAATGTTCTGTGAATGAAAGGCAAATTATTAAATGTCTTAAGGGTAAGTGGCACCAACTAATCGCCAGCAATCGCAGTTGACAGCACTGAATTTTACTTGCAAACTTATGTTTGTTGAAGATGTTGAACATAACGTCGATATTTGATAAGATTCGATCAAATTCCGAAGAAAAGTAGTAAAACTATTTTAAATTGCTCGAAACAACTATCAAAGCTAACAACTGAATGCCTGTAAGGAAAGCAATAGATCGATCTCATACAAAAGAAATACATTCCATTTTGTCGCTTAACCATTCAACAAAAAAGCGAGAATTCTACTACTCGGTGAAAAAGGACTACGGCCTCGCTGACTACTTGGAAAGATATCAAGAGGCAAAAATCCTACAAAAAAAGCACTGGCAAAACTGAGAATAATTAGCTACAAGCTCTTGATGTCATTTTTGTACTCGATGAGGCGAACTTGAACTCATCGTGAACGGAGCGAATTTGACGAAGCACTCTTGCATTGGGGCAAAACGTCCGTATAGTCGTGGGAGGGTAGGTAGATAAGTGTTTGTTAAAATCACATTGCAGCCCATAGGCTGAATTCAGCAATTGTTTACACAGTCGTTTGGGAGACACTTATGATAATGTGCAGGAGGGTAATATATCTTTTCAAGGGCTATGATTCAAAGTTCTCTTGATCGTTCTATTCTTTTTTGCAGCCTCAGGGGAAGCAGGTTTCGTAACCATCAGCCTTCAAATTCAAGATGATGTCTTGTTGGGACAGAATGAGATTTACTATAGCCGGTACCAAACGGAAGAACCTCTAAAGGAACTAGTCTTTGATCTTTGCCGACAAAGGGAATTGTTTGAAACTTTATTGCCTCGTTTTTCAAGTGGCAGCTCAGGAAATCTTGGAGGTGGAAACAGTACAGGTGGAACCCAAGGCTGTGGAAATCTCGGTGAGACTATTCTTAACCGAAAGCATACTAAAATATTCGGAAACAAAAGAGTACATTTCTGGCCGAAAAAAAAGTAGTGTTAATAAAAGAAGGATTACAAGAAAGTAACGGGTTAGTGCAGAATGGGAGGTATGCTGATGAAACTAAGGACACCTTACCATGGTTATATCACTTTTTCGATGATACTTCCCCTGACATAGCCTTTCGAAATATTTGTAGGCAGAGGATTATTCTGTCATTCATTTTAAGTCGAATTTATGTTTCAGGATCTTCCCGGGCACCCCATGTATTAAGCATCTTGGTTTATGCCGCAGCAAAATATGGAGCACAAAATTTCATTGAGTTGATCTTTAATTCCTCTGCGGTAAGGACAGTATTTCGTGCTTACAAAGACAACTCAACCTTACCAGAGACGATTGGGAAGAATAATGGTAATGACGAGATTGGAAATTACCTTGAAAAAATAACCAAGAGGTGAGTTGTTTTGAATAACGAACGAAAATATTGGAAACGTAATGTTAGAGAAGTACGCCTTTAAATTTAAATCAAATATTTATTTTCATAAGAACATTTTCTAACAGCTTTATATCGTTTCCCTTGTCCTTCACTACCCCTCATGCTCTTCCTATATCCAGTCCAGAGTACTGAAATTAATTCGACACAATCATTTCCTTTTTTCCCCTCCCCTTTTCCTGCCATAAAACTCGCAAAACAGCAACGTTTTTCACTCCTTTAGTTTAGAAAATATACGGGTAATAAAAGTATTGTTGGGCGTATAATTACATACGAAGCTCGTCACGAGTTATAAATGTTCAGTACATAAAAATGTATTTGCTATGGCATAGATTCTCTGAAGAGATCAAGCTCGGTGACAAATTGTCCTGCCATGCTATAGAATGCTCAGAACTTGTAACAGCTGGTAAGGAAGCCCAAAGACGACTTTGTGAGTAAACAATCTTAATCAATTTTGTTACGGAACACCGGTAATTTATGAGTGTTTATAATCACGAAATTAAGGTTATAATTCCGAAGGCAGACTCGAACTCTTTAAAAGCTTGTAAATTTGTCACATTTTAAACAGGACTTACAATGACTATGAAAAGTTCTGCGACAGTGAAGTGGTCCTCCATGCTTAAAGTGATTCCTCAGAAGAAAAAGCTATTGAAAGATCTTTTTTTAACTTTCCTTAAAAGTTCCCTACCAATGTATGTATGAAAAACACGCACAAAAATAATGGGTCACCATGCTTGTTTATGAGATACGACAGGCCAAACTTACCCCATTCATGAGTCCCCGTGCTCGTTTAAGAGCGTCGCACCTCTTTACCTGGTCCCTTGGTTGAAAACAATATCGTGTACTGCGCGCGATTATTCGCGTGATTACGTTTTTTTATGCGCAGTACAAGATGCGTAATGCAATATGAAGGGATCACCTAGCTTTTATACCGCGCTTATCTAACAGTTTGTCTTTTCCCATTCAATGACGTAATTGGTCAACCCACATTTGGAATAGGTCAAAATGATGAAAAGTACACTAACCAGCTTGAGGGTGATACTTCCAAAGAAGAAGGCTACTCAGCAGATGTCGAATCATCTTCTAGTCCATCATCTGACCTTGAAAGCTTGGAATCCAATGAAAGTTCACAGGGAACGCGCGACAAAGGTACTCCGCTGTTTTTCACGCAACGATCCAAAGGGCACTGAATTTAGTAGTCCACATTACTACACAATGGTTTCCTTTCCACACGTGTATGATTACTGTTGCTTTTTGCGTGCCAAGGTTTCCTGGAAACGGCAAGCAAAATATCATAGTGAGACATTAGATGGACATGTACATGTTAAATATATTTGCTTTTTCACCCAAGGAGCTTTGCAGAGTTAGCTGTTGTCGTCGTTACCAGCGGGCAACCAATGGTTTGAATTCGTGGTGGAAAATTTTAAAGGGTCCTTGTTAGCTATGATGCCTATTAGCAGGATTTTCAAAATAAACTTGGTTTACTGAAACCAGATGTTGAAACACGGGCAACGTTAGTTTAGAAAAGATTCCGGAAGGAACATGTAGAATTGTTCTAAGTTACTTCGAGCAAACCATCCGGATTGAGGACAAGACATAAGAAAGAACATTGTCTTAGAGGGTGTGCTATTTTTCAGATGTATGTAAGTGTGATATTATAGTAAATTGAGGCTTTTGAGGCTTTTGAGATGAGGCTTTTGACCACGGAGTTGAATTTGCGATAACTATCTTTTTGCAGGAATATACCTACTCTGTCTGCTGACATTCGGAATACCGAATGAATAGCTCCTTGTAGCCAATTGCGTACTTATTTTTTTTCCCAGATTCAAGTTTTAGCGATAGAAGCTCGGATGCTTCCTCGCAGATTTCGGGTGAGTAGCTTTTCCCATAATAAAATCTTCTCAAAAATGGCAATTAAAAATTATAAATACTGAAACTTTGAACTGCACAAGGCATTTAAGCTTAGCGCAAATAGAAGGGTTTCAATGGGGTGATGGCTTTTACTGCTAACGGTTAAAATGTTGGCCATTTTACGGCTAACGGTTAATATCATTCCATTGTTGTCACCCGAAATTTTTCTTACAGCTAATCTTTTTTTTGACTATTAGTTCAAATTTTTAAATTTTTATACCTAATGGGTAAAATTTTGGACGTTTTATGGCCATCAGTTAACCCCATTCAGACCCTCCAATACGCATCCTTCATTTAGTCAGTCCCAGCCGAGAACAGTTTACCCAAATCTTAAAAAAAACATGTAAATTATTCTGTAACTTAGACTATCGACCATACAGAAGTACCAAAAAAGGTTGGTTTAATGGACTAAAAGTTTCTTTATTTGGTATTCGAACTGAGTATCTTTTTTCTAGTAAGCTGGATCATCTTTCATCCATTAATCAGTCTTGAATTGAATTCTTTTCATATCTGGGAGTAAGGTTAATTGGCGTAGCAGATGGGTGCCGCACGAGGGCGTTCGGCGAAATGAGAATAAAGGTCAGGATGTAGGATGGCCGATATGGTCGTGGTAACCTGCCATTGTCTCGATGGGAAAAAGTAGATGTTGGTATTTTAACGCTGCTTAATCACTTTAAGTTTTCAAGGAACCTCCAAAATTGGACAAAATAAATTAAAATAAACGTAAATTTGGTAATCAGAAATTTCACTGAAGATTTATCGATAATTTGGTGTAGGTGGTATGTCGCTGTAAGTTTCAGATCTCAACTACTCTGGAGTTAAACTTATATCGTGGATGAACAATGCGGCAGAGAACTCTACAGTAAAAGGAAAAAATGTCAAATGAAAGTCAAACATGTCATGGATATTGTTAGTACCGAGCCCCACGCAAGAACCTTGATCAAAGATAACTGGAAAACTTATTCTTACTCGTCAATGCTGCTTTTTCCCTTTCCACTCGTAAGGCTCGAGGTGACCCATTTCGTTTTGCACTTACATAAATGGATAAGATAAATAATAAAAAAACTCGGAAGTGGCTTATACGCCATTTTCCAACTTATAGTCGTGCAACGAAAAGAATGGATGAGAATTGTAGATCTTGGAGACTCTCCGACTGCGCATTGGTTGCTGTGCACAAGTTACAGAGACTCAAAAAGTACTAATGGGAACATGAACCAAAAGAATTAAGTTGAAACAATGAAATATCTACATGGTTTAAATGTTGCTCAGGTAATGCATACTGTGAAGATCAATAGTCAAGTATTATTAATGTCCTGTGTGGAGGGAGATAGAAATGACGAAAGTCGAAATTCGTCTTAAAATAAAGAACGATGCTTATCCATGTGTACTAATTTAAAAAATCTGTCAATTCTCCTAGTAAATTCCGGAAGTGAAGAAGCCGGTGCAGAAAATTGCAATAAAATGCTAGATGGAGATAGAGCTCTGAGTAAGTTTTTGATATAGTCTGATTTTAAAGTCCCAATATGCAGTATAATACTGGGGTGAATATCAGAATTTCGCCCATAACGAGGCTACCAAAAAATTGTTCTCCATACTTGTGCAGCAAGGTGCCAATTCAACCGAAATTTATAAGCGTAGTTAGTAACGATAAAATTATCTTAGCATGTAAAGATGAAACAATTTTTAGTGTAATAGAAAAAATCCGAGCCGCAGATGGGACTTGAACCCACGACCCTCCGTGATCTAGTCGGATGCTCTAACCACTGAGCTACTGAAGACTCTATGGTGAGCAAGGGTCAATTTGTGATAATTTTAATAATTATCTTAGTAAACTTAATAACGATAAGATTACAAGACGGAGTTGAATTACAAGAAAAATCTTTTCGCTGCATAGCCGTCCGCTAAAATTCGAAATACTAACTATCTTGTTTGTCTTTGTTACTTAGGTTCAAGTTTTAGCGATATGGTTACGGATGCTTCCTCACAAATTACGGGCGAGTGTTTTTTTTTTTTTTTATAATAGAACCTCCTCCAAATTGCAGTTGGAAATTATGACCACTAAAACCTTTTGTTGCAAAAGACACTTCAAACCTGCTTCTCAAAGTTTCATGTAGTCGAGTCCATAAATTAGCTAACTCTTTTAAAAACATAGGTTGGTAAAAATCAATTATTTCATATCAACAGTCCTCTTATAATATCGTTGCATTGACTTGAAATTTTCAGTATTTGGTTCTTGAACTGTGTTTTTCTTTTTCGATTGCATTTTTGCTTCTGAATGTCAACTCAAATTCATTTCTGGTAGTTATTTGAGAAGAGACTGCGTTCTGGACTTGTCCCGCGAGAGAAGGCTCCATTCGCGTTGGGGCTTCTCAATTTTCTTTCATCCAAGCTAAAGAAGTATCAGCTAGACTCTCTTCCCAAAAGGGCGTCAGGCCAAAGTGGGAAAAACATGTTGGAAATTTCCGAACCGTCAAATTATATCTATAATGGTTATTGGGGGACTCCCGAACGTAACGCCTTTCACTGGAAGACGATAGACGTTACTATGCGAACGCCGTTGACCTAAAGCTTTCAGGGAATTTCCAAAATAACTTGAGACGAACCATAGGGCACAAAGATGAGACATAAAGTGGTATATTATCTTAAACGATGTGATCCTTTTCACGATGGTAATCAGAAAAATTAGTGAAAGTCTGCTGAGTTTTGATGCATCGCTACGAGAAAATCTCTAATATATTACCTAGATCGCTATTGATCTCATTCCAAATACTAAAGTACTATGCTTACACTGTAGAGGAACAATCCGGCAGCAGACCCTTCAGGAAACGAATTTATGGAATAACCGTCAAACATGTTAGTGGCGCTATTGCTGTTAGGTCCCACGCAAAAGCGCGGATCAAAGGTAATCAGAAAAATCAGAAAAATAAATGAGTGTGCCTTACGGTGATGATGCCCATCCTTTAAGAATATGTTGCATCGAAGGATTGCTGAAATATCGAAGACAACTATCAATTAAATCTTCTCTAAGCCTTTGTCATCGTAACCCCGTATGTTGCTTTTACTATCGATATTTTGAGACTGGTAGGTCAAAGAGGAAGAAGGATAGGTAGGGCATGTCACGCAAAATGTTTTTGTTGTTTTCTAACAGCCGTTTTCGTCATTTATACTGATTTCGCTTCCGTTCGAGGGGATTAAAAGGCACTTCTCGGAACACAAGAGAAAAGACTAACATAGAGCAACGATGATAATCCGTAGACAAACAAGTAGCTATGAATTTGTCTTTTTTTTACTTGCATAACATCATAAGATGAATTCAATTAGCGTAAATTTAAAAAAAACAATGAATATTTAAGTGACAAAATGGTATAATATCAACAATTTTAAATACGTGATGCAAACTGTAACGATTAATAATAAACTGTTGTTAGCGTTTAGTGTGGGAAAAGGGAAAAATAGAAGGCAAAAAATTATAATTTGTCACAGAACAGTGGAAGACGCTTTGAAAAATTCGTTTGGAGAATCCTGGCATGAGTTTCACAACTTTGACTATTTTTCAGGAGATGAACAAGTTTCTACTGAGAGGGTACAATTTCCAGACAACTCCGGAAATGAAGAAGTGAATTCTACGTCTAAGTGGGCAAACGAAGATTACTTTGAGAACCCAGAAAAATTCATCCAAGACATGGATGACAACGCTGGTCCACTCAAAGACGCTAAAGAAGACTTCCTTCTCCATAGCATCCTTCCCTATCTAGAAGAAACGTGGGGTAAATGTCCCTCTTCCAACAAAAAAGTATACGAGAATCTGGCCAAAATTTCTTGCAGTGCAAAATGTGTCAAAGCCGTAAGCAAGGCACTTCATTTGTTTCTTCACCTGATCTGCAAGGACAACTTCGAAAACTGCTGCAACAATTTACTGGTTGTGGAAGCAATTGTAAGATCATCAATTGTCTCCTCCGAGAGATTGTTCAGAAGAGACAGGGTCGATTCAAGAAGAACAATGAAAGAGCTCAAACTGTGTGTGTACAGCCGTATCATCTCCTCACTAGTCACGCATCAAGCTCTGAAAGGTGATTCGTTCATCAATTGTTTGGAACAAGATTTGAAAAAGGTAAAGGATGAGCTTAAGACATTTAACTTGCAGCTATGCATTAGAAAAAAGGATGGTCTCCGATATTCAACAGAATTCATCATCAAAGCAATCAGCCATCTTTTAAAGCCCAATGACAAGTTGCAAGACCTTCTAGAGGAATGTCGTGAGTTCTGCCAAAACCAAGAAATCGAAGTTAATGATTTGAGGTCTCTTCGTCAGCTTTATCATAAGAAGAATGGCGACTGGCGGATCGATCTACACTACATCGCTCTTTATCTCCAAGGAAAGGTAAAAGCTAAAAGAATGATAGAAGACTGACCTCGAAACTAGGAAAGAGAAAGCTAAATTACTATCTCGTTTTACTGTAAAAACGTATTCATAATTCCAAAGGAAGGCGTGAATTATAGAAAATTATCATCATCAAACATAAGAAATTAAAATTTCAACTTAGAACGGAGCTACAGTGGGTTTTGTAGATTAGGTTCCCTTTTAATTTTAAAAAAATAAGGCAAGCCACATGTTGAGACATGTTTCATGCTACAAATTGCATTTGCCTTTTTGTATAGGTGCATAGTGAAAGTCCAATTCCACGAATGGAGAGCGAGCGACGAGCTATGAAGCTGCTCAGACTTATCGTGGAGAAGTACCTTGATGGAAATGGTGGAAAGGACTGGAGGTTTTGTATGCTGGCAGCTACAATATTCTCAGACATTTCAATGAAGAACGAGACAAAAGGTGAAACACAGAACTATCAGTATCGAAAAGTATTATTTCTGTTCGCGTTTTAAAGGTCAGAATTTCTCTGACTTTAACGTAGAGCCTTAAAAAGCAAAAATGAAAGCCTGAAAAAGCAATAGTGCTAAGGCTATACTCACAGTAATGAAACGGGCCATTAATCGATGAAGGAGACCCCGTCTTGGTTCAAACTCGAAATTTTGCAAGCCAAGTCTCTGTCGATCCTATTTTAGTCTAATACAAAAGTCATTTATATCTTATTTTCCCTTAACAGAAATAAGGACAGAGGCAGGTAGCAGCTTGGTGTATCTTCTAAGAGATCCCAAAGTACAATAGACACCGGAGAGTAAGGCCATTATTCAGAGCCAAGCCGAGAAAGCGCTGTTCTGTCCTGATGTAGAAACCAGGACGTTTCTGACACATTTTTTGAATAAGAACAAAAATAGGCAGGTAGAACTTGACACAGTACAGCACACCAAACACCTTTCTCGGAAATACAAGACTCAGACACTGGAAATCAATGAGACAACCATAAGTAAAAGCTCAACCTGCTTTGTGAATCATGGCATGTTCCAGAGACGGAAGGTGGCCGTTAAAGTTCTCTTAGTGAAAAAGCAAGAGAGCCCAAACACTTCGGCTAAAGAGAATCTGAAACGAGAAGCTGAAAACCTGACATTATTAAACAAAGAACGGCATGCAAAATTTCCAGTTTTGTTGGCATATGACACTAAAACTCTGCCATACCACCTCATTACCGCATTTGAAAAATCAGGAGATCTGCTGCAATTTCTCCGGAGGTCGCGCGGAAGAAATCCTCCTCTTCAACCAGTCCAGCTCATTAAGATGTTATTAAATATCACGGACGCTCTCATCCATTTGGAAAAAAAAGGTTTGGTGCACCGCGCTGTAATGGCGACAAACGTTCTCGTGGGAGACAGTTATATCTGCAAACTGAGTGGCCTGCAACACCTTCGTCAGCTTACCAGCCAGAGTAAGAGATGATTCTAGCATGACTAACAGACTGACTTCGTAACTGAGGAACTAAGGAACTTATCGCCACCTGCATTGCTTTCTTCTTTCTTTCTTTTTTTCTTTCTTTCTTTTTCTCAGTCCTTAAGTCAGGCTGTCGTATGACTACAAGCACTAGTCATCACCTGATTAATTTTTCTACAATATTTATACCGCATCGAATTTCTTTATTCATAGATGAATATTCCGACTCGTTGTACAGTTATTGCCCAGCTGAGGACGGTTGCCCAGATTATGTCAATTCAACAGATGAGGAGGAGCTTCCGCTAAGATGGAAAGCACCAGAGGTTCTCTCAGAATGCCGGTTTTCAACTGCTTCAGACGTGTGGGCCCTTGGGGTGCTTATGTACGAGGTTCTTACTTACGGGTGCCTTCCATTCAGACATATCTCGGACGATAAATATTTGTGCTCGCAAGTGAGTTAATATATATATTTTTTTCTCTTAAAACGCTAATCTTGCATCCGTTAGCTGAAATGATGTTCCCGCAATTAGAAAAAATAAAATCGGCATCGTTAAAATTATCCTAGTTGACAGCTCTAAAGACAATACAGTACACCCTTGAGTCATTCATCATTGACGAAAAAAAGTAAACAGCATCCTTATTTTGAGACTTTAACCTAAGAACGAATATGATTTTTTCATTAGAAACTTTATTTCTTTAATCATTCCCCCAAAGGCATCCTTTAGATAATAGTCTAGGTGAGACGTACACTTTTAAAATCCTAGTGGGGTGTGAAGCATACATAGTGATTTCGAGTATCATATTTTAGACCTGAATAAGTATGTATATATGTATATAGGTCGGCACGGTTTCAAAATTTACGATTACGAAGACTTTAATACTAGCTCTACGTTTTTAAGGTGAAAAATGGTATCGAGATCCTGCCTTTTGAGCGGTGTTTTGAAGAAGAGGAATACCAACTGATGCGGCAGTGCTTTCAGTTCCATCGACATAAGAGACCCAAATTACTTGACGTCCAAAAAAGCCTTTGCGAGATGAATGAAAATGCAGGTGACACATGTTGACGTTACTGGCACGTAGACGTTTCACCAACACTCAGCAATTATATCATAAATAATTCTAGACATCAAAACTGAACACCCCGCTTGACAAAAAAACTATAATACATAACTGTGAAACTACAAACGAACTCTAAACGATGAAAATTGTGCTTCAACATACGGTGTAAGTGAAAATCGAAGTTTTTCTTTTTCAGACGAAGAACAAGCACGGTTTGACCCACCTTCCCTTGACTTACAAGTCACATATGAATCTGTAAGTTTGGTTATTTTATTCAATTTAATATCGAGTGCACTGCGAAATTCGTTAAATATACACCGAATGTACTGACCAATCACAAACTTACACTCTCATATCGTACATATTGAAAACCTCGTCCCTATAAAAATTTGAAGTAAAATGTGTCAAACGACTCCCCTCGAGTTTCCATATCAAGAGGAATTATTAATGATTACATTTGCTATGGATTAATTAGTCACTTTTTTTTTACAGCCTGCACGAAATGTTGAAGATATAAACAGCTTTTATTCAGGTACACGTTTATTTTTGGCAACGAAACAGCCATGTCATTGCTTATTAATCGGCCTCAAAGGCGAGAGAACCAGCGAGAAGAGCCCCCTTTCAGTTCATTGGAGTGAAAAAAATGTGTTGGGTTATGTTTTTTGTTGTGGTTGTTTTGTTCTGCTTGGTTTTTTTTTTTTTGGTATTTTTTCTTTTTTTTTTTTTTCATTTTATTTCCTTTTCTTTTTGAGGTGTTTCAGTTTAATTATTTCACTGTGAAAGAGAAAGGAAAGGGATTGAAAGTTCATGTTATCTTGAATAGAAGACACCGGGTAGCAACGAGTTTTTTGTGATACAGCCTTCCATCACAACTATAAGAAAAAACTGGATTTCTGCATTTCATAATTGAGTAACAAGTTTGATTCCTTAGATCCTGTTTACGAAGACTGTAATTTCCTGTCTACCGAGCATGACCAAGCTGCGTCAAATGGTAAAGTGTGCCATGGTTTTAGTTTGCAACAATATCTTTGACTGACCGACCATCAGTTATGAAAGTGAGCTTACAACTGTTACTTCTCTTTTAATTTTTTCCCCTCAGGTCTTTACTACGTTCACAACTTGATGTCAGATGAAGAGAGAGCGGAGGTAAAACCGATTGTGTAATAGCAAAGGGCTACTTTTTATTTATTTTTTATAAAGTACCTGAATGATTATGAATTAGGTCTTCAAATAGGCCAGCTTCCTTGCAAACGTTTTTGTCCTCGATCTTAAATGCAACATAGTTAACGATTAATTTAGTAGTTCGTTCATTCGTTGGTTATTAACCACTATATTATGTTCAATCGTATTCATAATGAAGTGTGACTTCTCATTTCCTCTTTTCAGGAAAAATCTTCAAACAGTGACTTAGAAGATCTTCCAAGGAAAATACGATTGATCTCGGCAAGTAAAAATGATGATAATAATATCTGCCTTTATCGAAAAAAAACTAATAAGAATAAATCCACAAATTTGGTTAAATAGAGCTGAAGACTGCAAAGTTTCAGTTTTCTTAGTTAAAACTGTAAGATAACATTTGCACTGTTCCTAACCTCTAGAGGAATCCCGATCCATTCCTTACATAACAATAAGCTAAGAAGAGCTTAACTGCCTTTTATTGCTAATGTGAACTAAGGAGCCAGTATTGAAAAGATTACTGTGATTTCCATAACCTTTAAGGCATTTTAGACCCTTAACGGCCTAAGAACGCTTCGTCTGACACGAAGATTGTTCCACCAAAGATTGATATGCGCCCGAGTTGATGAAGACTGTACAAATAGTTACACCCACGATTCTATGATTTCAGACATCTGAATCTGCATTCAGCGAGAAGATCAAAAGGACAGATGATCATCACCTTAGAGGTCTCCTTGCTCTCAACCATGCAAACCTCGTAGCCATATGAAAATAGACAATTTGGATTCACATTTCTCAATAGCAGAAATCGTAAGTAACTTAAATTTTGACTTTACTCTGCGCAAAAATATATTTGTATTTTTTTATTTAGAGTGTACTTTGAATGCACTAATAGTAGATAACCTCTGTCCTAGAGTACACTGCCAACGAAATAAAACCGAGTATTCCAATTTGGGAGACTTAAGACAGTGATTTTTTCCTCTTTCTAGATTACCAAAGAGGCTCCTTTCGGTGATTTAAAGAGTTACGTTCTAGCAAATCGATGTCAAATTGTTGATATAGTAACGTTTCTGTCTCAAGTGGCGTCTGCTATGCATTATCTCCATGTCAAGAACATTATACATGGAGACCTTCGAGCTACGTATGTTAACGTCGCTACGCACAACAAGGTAATTTAGATTGCATATTACAATGAGGAAAATTGTATCTTTCTTAAGTTTTTTCTTGTTCTCAGCCGTGCATTAACACAGGGTAGGGAAACTTCAAAGCGCATAGAAACATCCCCCTTCTTTCTCCCCCTCTGTTGTTGGTAGAGGAGAAACCGGAAATGTTAATTATTACATACGACTAATAAAGTGAAAGGAAATGGAACTTTGGGATTTCGCCGGCGCGCAAAAGTAGGTGGCTGAAATTTGACATTTCTTTTCTGCAGATCCAGGTTGGCCGTCTTGGTCGTTCGAAGCCTCTTTCCCTGAGTGAATACGAAGTTACTAGCACTTTGTGCGTGGTGCAGGCCGTCATGCCTCCAGAATCCACACGTTGGTGAGCAAACTTGATTTTAATATCAATTTTTTGTGGCAAGAACACGCTGTAAGTGAAACTCAGGTATATTACTTAGATATATTTGTATTTATGCGTACAAATATAAATACTAAGATGTTCAGAAACCGCATAATATAATTAAAGAGAACGATGTTTGGCTTGCTTTAGTAATAACATTCTAAGTCAGCAAAGGACTTCATGAAGACGTTTTCTTTCCGTCAGGAGTGCACCAGAAGTTATCCTGGATGG